AACATGGTATATATGCTAATTACTCTTTATAGGTGGTTTATGCCAATAAATATTGGAATCACATTTCTTGTTGGAGGAACACTGGGGTGGATAGCAGCAAAACTAATTAAACCAAAGCCACATTTGGAAGGCCTACTCATAGCTATGTGCTCCACAGGTACTTATATGTATGTATATATCATTTTATGATGCATTTAGAGCTATAATTAAGGTTATTAATTACGTTTCATGTTTTTATATAGGAAATCTGGGAAATATTCTGTTGATAATTGTCCCTGCAATCTGCACAGAAGGTGGCAGCCCTTTTGGAGAACATAGTGTCTGTAAGTCCAAGGGACTCTCTTATTCATCTTTCTCCATGGCGGTGAGCTTATTTCTTTCTTCATTTTACTGAATTCRTTAACTAGCAACGACTTAACTGAACAACAACTAGTGTTTTTGAACATTAATTCATGATATAATATATATTGATGGTGCATGCAGTTGGGCAGTCTGTGYATTTGGACGTACACTTTTCAGTTGATAAAAAGCTCGTCTTTAAGGTATACCGCATTCATAAAACAAGCAGAAGAATCACCACAGGAACCCAACAAGGACCCGGATTCAAATGAAAACACTCGTCTTCTCAATAATGGAGAACGAACCCAAGAATATATCGATGTACTCGTGCCTTCATCATACTCCATTAGTGACGTCCAACCCGTAAGCCTTCCTAAATSCTAACTATATATGTTGCATAATGTAGTTCAACTTATAACTCATGCATGGATTTGTGTAGAGTGTACACCATGAATCAGTGAGGAAGGAGGAGAAAAAAGACGCATCGTTGTCAAGTAAACTAGTAGATATATTCCACAAAGTATTGAAGGAACTATTGGCTCCTCCTACCCTTGGTTCTGTAAGTATCTAAAATTAAGCTTTTCCACTTAATTATTAAGCATATATGTATCCTTAATTGCATATCATATGATATGATGATATATATATATATAATAAGAATAAGAATAAGAATGATGTTGTGGTTCGTTTTCTTGATCAGATTGTAGGATTGATTTTTGGGGCAACCCCATGGCTGAAAAAGCTTGTGATTGGCGATGATGCTCCATTACGAGTAATCCAAGATTCCGCCACGCTACTTGGGTATGCTTAATTAATTAAGAACACCTKATTATTAGTTTTGGCAGGTCCTTATACAAAAGTTAATTTGGATTAATTCTTTAATTATGAAAACATGCATTTTAATCATCTTGTTATATATCCAGGGATGGAACCATACCTTGCATAACTCTTATACTTGGAGGCAATATAGAGAGAGAGAGAGAGAGATGTTATATATCCAGGGATGGAACCATACCTTGCATAACTCTTATACTTGGAGGCAATCTAATACAAGGTATAAAATTCCCAACTTTTTAAATCATTGATTACTTGTGTTTTGACTTCTCATTACAAACCACCATACTTTGCAAAAATGATGGTCTGTTTGCAACAAAAAAAGATTAATCTCACATATATATATATATATATATATATATATATATACATACTTAAGGTTTTCGGAGGGCGAGCATAAGACCGGTTATCATCATGACGATCATCTGTGTGCGATACGTGATTCTTCCCTCAATTGGAATATTGGTGATCAAAACAGCTTCTAGTCTGGGATTACTTCCTGTGGATCCCCTCTTCAGTTTCTTGCTATTGATTCAATACACCGTGCCCCCTGCCATGAACATCAGTAAGCATATATATATATATATATGCAAGCCATCTTTATATATATATATATATATATATATGATTCTTGACTTTGGTCGTTAATTTTAATTTGTAAATAGGTACGATGACCCAATTGTTTAATGTGGGACAAGAGGAGTGTTCAGTGCTTACGATGTGGAGCTACTTGGCTGCAGCATTTGCACTGACTGGATGGTCAACAGTCTTCATGTGGATCTTGGCATAATTTTTTTGTAATTTCATTTTATGTATTATATATATGCATTAATTAATTAATTAATTCCCAGTGTAGGTAGGATCAATATCAATTTGTTTATAATTCTTTCTTAGAAATGAAGGTGTAACACATGTATGTATGGTTACCACTTAGTTTGTTGTATAACCACATGCGGTCGAAGCTCGCGTATTGTCTGACTACAAGAATCATTGAAACAATAAATAGGGTTCTCGTATAGGAAAATGTCAAAAGATCCACATACGTCTAAACCTTAAAAGATAACGAGCCTAGAAACTGAATATTAATGAAAACAAGAAACCTTGTTTTATTAAATGGTTTGATTCATTGAAAATGATCGGCTATAAATATGTAATTTTTTCATTTAAAATTTTGAAGTATATAAAATAATGAAATTGGTCCAAGTTTCTTGACATCGAACTACCATAACAACTTTTTGTCTCGTTGACGTAAGTGGTGACATATTCAGTCCTCAAACTTAATCTAATAAGATAAAATATATCACTGAATAATACAAATCACATGCCCCTAAACTCCAAATCTGGGCGAATAATCTTTATAACGATGATATTGACATCTCACATGGGATTTGAGTATCGATCAAGCCAAGAAATGTTTGTTAAATTCGGGAGTTTCTTTTTCCTATTAAGATCTGTCTGAAATAAGATGACCTGAGGTAGACAACCCAAACATAAAAGACCAATCAATTCAACAATTTCCAACAATTGCTTAAGAGTTAAATGGAAAATAAACACTCCTGGAGGAACGAATAAGCTGATCAAACAAAAATAAAATAAATCCACACATTGGTTCAGAGATMGACAATAAGCAACAATGAAGTGTTGAAAAGGATCTTTTTTTCTCATATTTTAAAAAGAATAAGCAACAATGGTCTTTAAAATCCATTCAAACTGCTTAACATATCTGTATTGGGTATTCCTATTTCTACTGCAGAAGCAAGAAAAAAAATATATATGAGTWGGGAGTCTTACCTTCTAAATGAGAGTGAGTTGAAGTTTAGGGCGGTTGGGTTGTGGTTCGACAACCTCCATGTGGATCTTTACGGTCTGAAGAACACCATAAGCAATCGATCCATCAATCTTTTTTATCTTCTGCTGCTGCTCATCCACAACCCATTCTCCACCTCCTTTCTCACCTCTCATTGTTAAGTACACTGGTCCTTCTATACCATACCTATAATCAATAACAATCCCGAATTTTAATTATTAACTCG